ATTCGAAAAAAATCTCGTTCAAAATTTTTTAAATCGAATATAATACGATCGAAAGTATAAAAATTTCTCTTTATATCGCCTAAGTCATCTTCTTATTCTTTGAAAATTTCATCCCAACACGATGGCGCGCAATTTAAACATACATTTGCTAAAAAGAGACAAATTGTTGGCAATTATATACAATTATATACATTATACATATTATATTAGCAATTATATACATTTGCATATTTCTTTTATTCGCGTAAATCAAATACGCCATCAGTCGTGCCAAATCCAAAGATCATTAATCCAAAGATCATTAATCAATATCCACAATAAATAGCGATAATAAAATGTTAATTTAAAACCTGACTGCACCACTGCAGGTAAGCAGTTTTGAACTCTTAGCTGCTATCCGATTGCGAAAAGCTATGAAAAAAAGAAACTTAGGAACAAGATGACGATCTTAGGAAATTAGAGCCGCACACTTTTCTAAAGCGCATCGCGGCGGAAAACAAGGCATCGTTGTTCGACCGATCGCAATGGCGGAAATAAATATCGGCGCGAAGGGAAGGGCTTGCCCGCGTTACGCAATTTTTACACGCATTGAATCGAGTGAAAATAAGATTGAATCGAAATCTTATCGTCGTATAGCTCGTATATATATTATAATTTATTAAGAGAGACTTGTACATCGGTTTATCTATAAAATACGCAGATCGCTGCTTTATCACATACTCGTCTCTGCGTGTACGTATCTTGAAACACACTCAAGAGGGGGAATTGCAAAAATGCGCGCGTGTGCCGAGGGCTCGCCAGTTAACTCGTTGCAAAACAAGGCGGGGAGATTTTTCAATGGGACAGTATCGACGTTGCATCTTTGAAAGCTGATATAATAACGCGTTAACTATGAAAGCGTAACCCTGAACCGAGGACGCATAGCAAAACTTGAAGAACTTTCGAAACGAGGATTATTAAGAAATCAAAAAGATTTACGATACTTCCATTCTTGAGTAAATACCGAAACTAATATCGAACAAAGTTGTGATTTATGATAGAATCTTTATCGAACGGCTAACTTGAAAATATCGAGTTTAAGTTGTAAGCGAGTAAGTAAGTTCCAGAGTCTCCTTCGTGGGCCACGGGCTCGAGAAGATTATAAAAAGTTATAAAAGTGTGTTGTTAGAAGTTAAGAATTATATTCTAGAATTACTGAAACTCCTCTATTAAGATACGTATACTTGTGAACAGAACAAAGGAAATTTCACGACGGTTTATTGACGAAATTTTGAAATCGGTGACGAGTAACGTTACATTTTATCAGATTATCGATGAAACAGGTTTCAAGAAAGTTTCCATATGTTCCAATCTTCTACGCCACTGCTTTCTACAAATATTTAATTTCACGGTTAACATATGCGTAATGAAAATGTGTGGAAAGGAAAAACGGCACTCGACTCTCTAGTTGGTATAGGGGTTGAGGGGTTAGATGACTCAACTTTGTTTTCCGATAACTAGCTAACCAATTATCGAAGTAAATGTCTCTAGAGTTCAAAGGTAATAGTGGTTCAATCATCAAACACTCTAATATCGCAAATATCGGATCACGGAAGAAACCGTTTGAACTTTTGTAAAAAATTGTTTTCAAAAGTTCAAAAATTACGATCACAACCCTATTACCTCTAAATAAAAAAAAACAATCTCTCGCAACAACGTTCATCTGACGAGATTACTCGCAATGTAAAAACATTGCGAATTGAATCCGATTTAAAACTGCACGATGAACCAACCAGTGGGTTCGAGGGGGCAGAAGCAACCAATTACCTTGCAAGTTGGCAAACTTTTACCGTCAGGCTGCGGTCTAGAAACGAGAAAAGAAGAGAACGAATTGAGACCTCAATGAAATCGCAAGTACGAGATACGTGTGATAAATTAATTCGAAACGAGTCGAGAGAGAGAGAGAGAGAGAGAGAAAGAGAGAGAGAAATCTTTTTGCAAACAATTCGATTTCCTTTCAAGAAACAAATACACGTAATCAGATCTATTCCTTCTCCTTTCGTGACGCTTCTAATTAACGTGGAGTATGTGACGGTTTCGAGGCCATCGACGAGCGCGCGAGTATCGACATTGCCCAAGTTTTTATTCGTAATAATTACGCGCAAAGGAAGAAGAGAAACTCGATTTTGCCAACAATTAACAACATTGTCGTAGCCGCGAAAATATCCTCTTCTCTTATCGCTCAGAAATACGTATCTATGTATAAATATTCATATATTTATTTTTTCTGCTTCACTTTGTATACATATGTATTATTATAATACTGCACATCGTTACTATATTTATCCTGCTGGATACTAATTTAATCTATCTACGTATTTACCTTCGTACTATCTTCGTGTAATCTATACCTACATATCTATACTTATCGATTTCGACTCGAATAAATGATGTAACGCCAAAATTTTAATTGTGAAAAATTCGACTTCGATTTTTAAAATTATGAGGCAAAATATTATTCTCTTCGCCCAGGCAGAAAGAAAATTAGACAATTGTACAGAGTACCAAGTAATTCGATCGTATGTCGTCTTTCGAATTTACCTTCATCAATATCGTGGAATAAATAACTTGCATAATATCGATATAAGATACTTGCGAAGACAGAACAATGTACGCAGCCGGGATGCAAGGATATTGCGTTTTTTTTTTTTTTTTTAAATAAGGATGGATTACGGTAATCGTTGTAACAGGCGAACGACCACGGGTAAAAATATAATCGGAGACGAGCTTAGCCAATCGAAACCTTTCGAAGGACGTAATGAAAACGGAGACGAGCGATAAAATTATGTTTTATAAAAAGTGCCTTTTTATGTCATTCGACATACCGGGATACCGCAAACGGATCTCGATAGATTCGAGTATGCTGATTCGTTAAGTACTACGCATTACCTTTACTCGTTGTTTTTCTCGGCCGGTGTTCGTATTGCGTAAGCAATTTATGAACCGGTGAGAAAAGGAAAAACACGTTGCATTAGCCTTCTCGAGGATAATAAATACAATCTGAATCCGAAAACAGCGATCGATAGGATATTTAACGGATGCATGCATTTAACTACATGTTTTCAACATTATAACTCGGTTGATGAGTCACGCGGTTGGTTAAATATCACAATGGTCAACTTTCATGCGAAGCAAGAAATCGTCCAAGAAACAACTTTTAATTTAACTTTCGGTAAAATTGTAGATCATGCATGACCATTTCGGGTTTCAAATTTTTTTAACGAGATTACACCTTTTTCATAGTATTTAATTTCTGCCGAAAGCTAATTCAATTGAGTTCTTTGAGTAACGCGTAATCAAATAAAACCTCTTGTAAGACTTTAAAAAGTGTTGAACTCAATTCCACGACCCGGAATCCAACAACGAGATAAACATCATTGATCGCCTTTTGCAGAGTAAAATTCAGACTACGATTAACTTATATTCGAAGTAATTCAAATCGTTATTGAATTAAAACAATTCTAATCATCTTATCAACGATATAAAAATTGCAAGCTCAGAACGAAGTTTCGGAAAAAGAATTTCCTCTCTAAACCCGTTCTGAACCTGATCGACCACGATAAAACAGGCCAGTTGAATGAAACTCGATCGCGCAAATTCGATTTGAAGACGATATCTCAGGAGTTAGACTATAGGGACCTGTCAAACGCGACGAAAAGCGATGTCAAGGAACTTTCGTCACTGGATACCGGTCAATCGATAACACGCTTTTTTGCATGCGTGTCGACCAGCTGGCCGAAGAAAGCGTAAATGCACACACTGTTGCATAAGTATCCGGTGTGCGAAGAGCTGGCGACCTTGGAATATCAAATACTGGTAAAATGAGCACGTAAAGGCGATGATTCGCGAGCCCGTTCCTTCTCGGGGCACGAATTAATCGATGTGCGAGACAAGGAATTTGATGGAATCGGGAAATGATCATGATAATGATAACGGTTCGCGAAGAAATTTCGTAAGAAACGATGAAATCAATGCTCGTTTTTAATCAGGATAGTATAAATGTTAAAAATATTCGCGTAATTAATTAGAGAAATTTTAAAGAAAGATTATATTTGTGAATCATTGTTTAACCTTTATTCATTCTCCATTCTTTCAGATTGATTTAACTTTGTGTTCTTCTTTGTGTTTTCTTCATGATTGAAGTGATGTCTATATATAAAAAAAAAATCTGCATCCTTTTATGATTAGCCTCCAAGGCTGATTTTTTTTTTTTTTTTTCAAGTTCGAAGGCTAGCCTTCTTTTATTTTAGTGTCAGAAACACGAAAAAAAAAAAAAAGAACGGATGTATCATCAACCTATTTTTAATTTAAAAAAAAAATATATTCTTTAAACGAAAATCATCGCTTCCTTATTGTCTAAATCTTCGATTAAAATTTCACGATAAAAGAAAAAAAATCTTGGATAATCTTCTTCGTTCGACCTTCGACTGCGTGGATTAAAATAATGTGATAAAGAGATTTTATCCTTCGGAATCATTTTAACTGCAGAATTCGTTATCAAATAATAGATTACTCTATATCTTAATAACCTTCAATTTGAATCTTTAATAACAATAATAATAATAATTTATGAATATTACTATTATTTTCTTTTAAACTGGAGCATAACTCGATATCCCACAATCCTAAATAATTCACTCTCTCTCGTTCCCATGATACTCATACACGTTATTTCCATTATAGGTCAATTATATAGCAAAATAAATTTTATTCCATTCGTAAACAATATTTTCGTTAAAATCTTTACACGAATCGTTCACACATCATATAAATAAACAAGAAAATTTAGGATAATAATTATTAAACAATTTCGAAACATAAAATTGCTAAAATTAACTTGTTTATGTTCTAAGAATATATATATATATTTAATATATATATATATTAAATAACACATTATTCATTAAATTTTAAACACACAGTACACTACAATATAAATATAAATTGAGTGCAATACTTACTGCCCCGTGGACCGTAGAATTTGACGGAAAATTCGTTTAATCCTCCTAATATCGTCACCTCATGCTTGCTTTCTATTCTGTAGAGTAGAGGAGTCGAGTTACGAGTTAAGGAAGATTAAACCTGTAAGAAAAGATCCTTTCGCGGCGTGGGCATCGGCCGCGGCGAACATTGATTGATTGGGGCGGAGGACCGATCGAAAAAAAAAAAAAAAAAAAAGGCCTAGATCATGCAAACAAGAGGCGAAAACACGGTGCGCAAATATTAAAAGCGTCGACGAGAAAACGGTGCAATGAACTGCGGGGGGGGGGGGGAATCGATGTGGAAAGAAGTGCGAACGCAGAAGCGTGTCAGAAGTCTGGCCAGTAATGTTATCTTCGTCAATCGATGAAACGCACCGAAGCTCGCGTGACTTAAGCCGAGCGTGTATTGTAACGCTTCGCATATATTTCTGACGCAATCGAGATTAACTAATTTTTTTATAATAAACCACAGTGGGTGGACAATGTCAGGTGAAATCATTCGCAGGATATTAAAAGAACAAAAACTAATTATCACGGTGGAAAAAAATGCTTTGATGCAATCCCCCCTCCCTTTTTTTTTTAACGTATCGATGGAAATCAAACGTTTCTTCGAGTTAACAATGAACAAGATACGAGGAAACAATTGCGTTTTTTTTTTAATTGGAAATAAATGAATGATAATAAAGCGAATTGCTATAAATTGTTTCCACGAAAGTTGAGATATTAAGGTAAGAAAATTATGTTTTTTTTTTTTTTTTTTAAATCAAATTATTACTCTTAAAAAAATTTTTCAAGATTTAATAAACAGCTTAAGATTTTTAAAGCGAGAAAAAATTCTTTTCGTATTATTTCGAGTATTATTATTATTTTAAAGATCGAGGAGAAAAGTAAGCTTTTGTTGGGAAGAATACAGCTTGTAGTGCATTATATGGCCCGAAAAAGTTTCTTTTCATATTCATATCCAATTTCAACTTGGAAAAATGGTAAACGGTTGAAAAAATCGGGAAAAGAAAGGAAAAGAAAAGTTTTCAGCTGCGTTTAATAATACGTACGCAAATAACGGTTGCTAAAATTATCAAGCATTTGGAAAAGATTTTGAGACCGCATTTAATTTTGATTTCGTCGGTCCTTTTTATTTGCCCCGATACACCGCGACAGTGACGAGGCTCTATCATTGCAAAGATTCACGCAAAATTAATTCCGATATAATTCACAATAAAATATGTACTGCGGAAAAATGGTAGGTAAATCGTTGAACGAGATCGGAAATCGAGTTCGAAAACAAGCAATGTAACCAGAACGAAGCAGAAGAACGGAACTTTAACTACCTAGATTTGGAGAGTTTCACTGAACAATATTTCGCAAAGCATACACATTACGACTAAATCAAAATCAGTCCATAGAAAAAAAAGATTAATTAGAAACATCTTTATATTTGAAAATCATAATTAATAATCGTAATTATTTAAAAATCATAAAAAAAATTAAAATATAAAATATAATCAATAAAATTTAATTGAAATTCAATTGTTGAATCTTTATAGAACGAAATAACCGAGAGCGATTTAGTTTTCGAAACATGATGATACATAATCATATCTAACCCTTTTATTACTTAATATTTTTTTTTAATGCATAAGTCGATCGTTAAAAAGGGAAATCGAATTACAAGGATGTATGTCATGTTATTCAACGTACGATAAACCACTTTCTTGTTTTGGCAAGTGGTTACACACGAGCCCAGCATTGCGAAGCTCTCACCTCGGATAACTACAAGAGCTTTGTTATATGGAAAACCAGGTTCTCATGAATACGTTCGATTCTGGTCAATATCGGTGGATTTGTTTCCTGTAATGGTGTAGGCTACACGTAAAGCAGAGATGGACAACGTTGTGCTAACACCACACAAACAAACGCGTATGTCTCGAGTACGCAGAGAAATAGAATCCAAACTAGCGCGTGCTACGTAAGTTATACGATATATGATCAGTTAAAATAATTTTCTTCCCGCAATATGTACCGTAATTGCAAAAGCAATATCGGTAGACGAACATATTATTCCGCCGGAAGTATTACGTTTCTTCGCGTCCTACGAGGAATTTCATTGTTGCATGCTTTCACGAACGACTCGCGGAAGTCAGAACAAACTATCTTTGATTAACATACAAATTGACGTAGAATACATTTATCGGACCAAAAAGAAATTAATTCCTCGTTTCGTACGATTGTTCCAAATGATTGCACAACGTAATATTGAAACGATTGATTCGATTAGTCTACGATCGATAAAATCGAGCATTATTCGATAAGATCGATTTTATCGACATAACTCGTTATCCCTGAGAAAAAAATACGTTTAAATAAGAAAGAAGAAATAAAATTATATCGCTAATAATTCTATTTTAAAATGATTCAATTGAATCGAAGATAATCCATGATTAGAAAGAAAAATGTATTAATCTACATAAAATGATAATATATATATATTAAAAATAGATTATCAAGATGTTTTAATGACCTCGATTTCACTGAGAGTCTTCGTGCATTCGACGATACATATGTACCATGAATATCAAAAAGGGATAGAAGCAATTGCTCAATCTTGAAGACCGTTACGAAGCATTTGCTTCTGGCGCGATGTTGTTGTTTACAATGTCGGCCGAACCAGTCAGCGTTTCACTAAGAACTGACAGTCTGTTTTCGCCCCTCTTAACTCGCTCCACCTCTCACAGTTCGTCTTTGTTTCCGCAATCCAGTATCCATTTTCTCTATCCTTTTTTTCACTTAATCTCTTACTACGCCATTCCGTTCGACGAAGGAACCACTAAACTCTCATGCTTGTACGAAAACTACACGCGACTGCGTATCGAAATAAACTGCACGTGCGAATCAGTATTCGTTTTTATCGGTCTATTTACGCCGAAGATATATGTACAACCATTTTAAAAGGCTCGCTATAAATTACGTTCCTGACTGTATCTTATTTTTGAAAGACACTCTCTAGGTAACCGCTTATCGACGATTTGATAAATTCAAAACGAGATACTAAGAGAACAATTGAGAACAATCTAAATTTCGTATTGATACGATGCATATGTTCGACCGAAAATATTCGTGTAAACCGTGAATACGATTCGCCAAACTTTATATCGTACGCCACTTTTCTTTCTTTTTCATTCGACTTTGAGCATCGAATGTTTCGTTACTAAAGTTCTCTTCTCCCCACTACGAGTTTTCCCCCTCTACTATTCCCTACTTTAAATCTTTATGGCGCGTTTATATATATATATATATATATAATTCTAATTTTATTTTTGATTTATTCGCAAATATTATGCACAAATATACATATTATAAAATATATATATTTACGCATTATAATATATAATCGATGACCTTGCCTTGTATCTCTGAAGTAATAAAAATTTGATGAGCATGTCGAGATAAAACAAATGGCGCGAAAATACAAAAACATTCATTCGAAATGCAATCAATTATTACGAAGGATGCATTATGTGAATTTAATTGTACTTAATGTCGCATTTTTTTAGTTAGTGGAAAAATTATAATAGTAAAAACAAGATTAAATTATAAAATATTAGGCGATAAATATAGTATTATATATTCGAATATTACACAAATTGAAAGATCACATTGATAGTAAAAAGATCTACGTAATCCTGATCGAACAAAGACCAAACATTGGATACGAGATGAACTCGGCGTATTCCATTTTTCATTTTATTCATATTTGGTAATGCTTCGAAATTTAATATCGTATTAAATGTACTTTGAGTAGCAAACACATTAATCGAACCAATGGTGAGAAATTTACAAATACAAGTTGTTTAAACTTCAAAGAAAAATATATTCCGCCTACACGTTTATGATTCAATAAACTTTTAACCATCTTTAGATTTAAAATTGAATCGTTCTGGAAAAAAAGCATTCGAAGTATTCTAACCGTACGAATTCCTAAAAATTTATTACTATTATTAACGACCGTATCGAATAAATAAATATTTTCTATATTTTTTGAAGAAATCAAGTTTCTCGATATCGAGTCATCGCTATTTCGAGATACTCTTCCATATGCATTTGTAAATCAAGTTTCTTCAATCCTTTCATTTCATATAGGATTGAATCGATCTTCGAACAAATATTCCAGATATTGATTAATTCCGATCTCCAATATTCAGAGAACGATAATTGAAGCTTTTAACAACGAACACATAAAGGGAACGAGATCTTCTCCCTCCAACTTCTCTCCCCTTCCACAAACCTTTGCTCGAGGACACGTATGTACTTGAAACGCATCGATACGCAGGTCTCACGTAAAATTGCATCAGGCAGATAACAGCCTCGGTACATGTATATTTCTCACATGTACTTGCGTGTCTCCAAATCCATTACGGTGAACCATTAACCGTGAGAATAACCATTAACTGAGAAGCTTGTTAATTACTAGCATAATTGATTAGCTTGATTTCGGTGAATAGACAAGGAATCTTCCAAGAGGTCCATCGAGTATCCATATTTGGTCCATCGATCCATAATTAAATTACTTTTAGAATCGTATTTATATGTATCTTATCTGTACCACATCATTAGAATAGTAATAGAAATTATGTTTGAATATATATATATATCCATAGTTCCACAATTTACAGCAATTATATTATTATCTGCAAAGCAATAGGACATTTAAATCTCAAAAACATAATTTATTTCGATACGCCTTTTTAACTTGTTCTAAGGCATGATGTATCGTTCAAATTTTGGTTTAAACGAAAAAAAAGTACGCGCGAGTAATTCAAATGTTCGATGCACTCATCGAATTGGAAATTTATACCATGAAAATATGAAAAGTGATAGTAAAATTGCATTATATTCATTAAACTCAATTAATTGTATTAAATTCATTACATTCATTTGATTCTTTGTATTGTTCGTTATAATATATTCATACATGATGAGATATGAGCGATACTTTGAAAATGAAGCTTAAACTTATACGTCATATTGTACCGCGGGAAAATTAAATTTTGATAGATTTTAAAAATAGAATTAATAATTTATGTAATTAAAAAATAGAAATTATTTTAAAATATTAGTATTCTTGATATCTTTTCACATATATTTTAATTTTAAAATATAATTTTTATTATATTCTAATATTTCTATTTCGTAAAATTTAGAAAATTTTTAATTTCTTGTTTGTTTCACATTTTATCTTTAATAGTTTAACAGATTACACATTGATAATTCATAAATTCTTTGTCAATCGTAAAATTGTTTGTAGCGTTAAAAACTATAAACTATAAAATCATTTTGATAAATCAATGAAAATTCTGTTTTCCTAATCAATAGTATCTGTTAATAAATTATAATAATAACGGAATTATATACTATTTTCCTGTTCGAAAATTATTAGTAATTTTCCTTACTTTGATATTATTTGAAAGATATTCTAACGAGAATAGATCAGATGATAAAAACAAAGTTAGAACAGACGAAGGTGTATATAAATATGCAGTTGCAATTCTAGAAGAGGAAGCAAACCTTGTCATTCGTGTTATGTGGGCGTCCAAGGTGAGCCTTTGCGATCATACGATGAACATTCTAATAGATACGTTTTACAACACTTTAAACAGTGTTTTTTAATGCGAATGAATTTACTTCAACAATATTATATGCTAATTATTATAAAAAATTCAATGTTTTTGTTAAGTCTATGAAAATGACAAAAAAATTATACAATGAAAAATATTTAAATATTCTATTACACTAAATAATATTAAAAAAATATTAAATAAAAATAATATGTTACATAAATATTTTAAGTTAATATATTATCATAATTTATTCCATATTTCTATTCGTTGAAACGTAGAATCAAGCATTGGTATTTCAGAAGTCTTGCTATACCGACAGATAAAATTTTCACTAACTTTGGTATTTTGTTTCTTTATGACCATGAACAAATAACAAAGGTGCACTCGCATAATTAAAAGAACTCGAGTAGCAGATAATGGATACATTTCAAATTAACGCATAATAAAACAATTCTTCAAAGCATTAATTAATTTTAATTATTTTATCAGTATTTCATGATCTTTAATAAAATCTTTAAAGACGAATTCCTACTTTTATGTATTTCGCATTTATGAAATACAAAAGAATAGAAACTCATACGAGTAAAAGAAACTTGAATGAAGAATAAAATACATGCAAATAATAAAATCTTCGAGTTATATTTCGATCAAAGATTCCATTCCATTATAAAAGTGAACTTTATTTTATTCGACTCTATATAAAAATGAAAAAAATTTTCTAAAATTTTAATTAATTTAAACTTATTGAAATTTAAAATATATCTAGATGAAATTTATTTATTAAAAATTAATGAATAATATATAATATTATTAATATTTAATAAATAAAAAAAGAATTTGTTAATTTACCAAAAGAAAATTTGCAATATAAAAAAAATAAAAAATTATTTAGTATTATTTAGTATTTAGATTTAAATCAAATTTAAAATCAAGAAAAGAAAATAAATTTAGAAAGTGCAACAAAGCAAATATAGAAAATATAGAAAAAGATAAAAAACATAAAATAGAAAACGAAAAATTTATATTTATGCAAAATTATTAATTTTTTCTATTTATATATTTTATATATTTTATAAAATAATAATTATTGAATATATTCAGTTTTCAGTTTATTATATATATAGGCAAACAAAAAAATAGAATATAAAAAATAGAAAATACAAATTTTTTAAAGAATATTTCTTTATTGTATCGAATCCAGTTAAAAAAATGAACAAAAAGATTATTTTATCACGAATCAGTTATTAATGTAAATTTTAATCTAGTAGCCGTACAAAGTAGCCTTTTACCATTATTAAAATGAAAATATTTATCTATAATATAAATATAATAGTTTATTAATTTAATTGAATCACGGAATAAATTCAATTGAATTTGAAAAAAATGATAATTTAAAGTTGCCATCAAAGTAAACTTGCACTCTCGATTTCTTTAGTTTCGTTGGGATCTTTATTTTTGTTATAACATAATCAAACAATATTTTTTTGTAAAATAAATAATTGTGTATTTTCTTATTATTATTTTTATTTTTTTTAAATTATAAAACTAATGCAATGTATGAATTATTCCCAAATTTTTTTACAAATTTTTGGATTGAATAAAATAAAACACGAATCAAATAACTGTAATAAAATTAAGAAGATTTGAAAAAGAACTTTCAAGAGAAAAAAAATATAAAATATATAAAAAAAGTTGAAAAATAATATTCATAATATTATAATGAAATATCATCAAATTTTATAAAAATTTCTTAAAACGCAATATTGAATATTAAATATTCAAGATTGTAAATTTATAAAGATCAAAGACGTCTGACATCCTTTTCGAAAATAAATTATTATTAACATTAGTAAATATGTATGCGTGAAAAGGCGAAATAAAGACAAAGAAATTTTTCTAAAAATTTGAAAGCTCACAAGGGGCTCCCTATTAAAAAACGAATACATCCAATTCACTTTAGCGTTTACAAATTTAATGTAAGCTTCAACAAAGACTGATCGATGTTACAAGACACGAAAGAACTCGGTATAGAGACTACCATCGTTCTAGAAAAACTGACACATTCGTTCATGAAAGTCTACACAGAAATAATAAGCGAAATACGATGTTATATTATGCAAAAATCAATTTCTTACGTATCGAGGTCAAATATACATTTATTACTTTTTTTCTCTTTTTTCTCTTTTAATTATTCATATCATGTTGATTTCTTATATCAAAAATGAAATGAAAGTAGAAACTACAAATAACAAATTTTTATGGTAATATTAAAACAATCGATTTGTTTCTATAAAGACGCAATCAAAAATATTACAGCTTTTTCTCGTTTCTACACGAAGTACCTTTGTTCTTTGTATCTCAAATAATCACTATATAGACAAAAAAAAACAGAAATTCATCAGAACAGAATCAGTATTATCACGTGATTTATCATAACATTTGGTAAAAAGAAATTATTTTTATCTATCTTAGTTTCTTTACTATTTATATTTTTATTTTTATATATATATATATTTATCTATATAAAATTTGACACTTTGCGTCATTTTCATGAACTATTTAGTTGAGGTTGGAATACGGCAGTGACGTCTCAATTACCGTTGGTCGCGCACTCCATTTCAAATCAACGTTATATATATGCCGTTCTTTGACGCGCGACTTTAAATATTTACGCTCACCAAGGAATATATAAATATAAAAAGTATTTAAAATACGTATCATCACTCGAATTATTTAAATCGAAATAAAAAACTTATTAAATAATAAAAGACGAGATACAAAGAAAACGAAAGAAAAAGATAAAATACAAAAAAGAATGGAAAGAATGAAATCTAACCTCTAGAACCTACAACTGTATACCATACTCATCATGCGTTAAACGAACGAGATAAAGCTGCGCACACACGACTACAGGGACGTAGTCAGCTGGTTAAAAACAGCTGTGTCCCGTCATCGACGAAACGAGGAATTAAATATCCCTCATCATCATGAAACACCATGACATTGCAACGCGTTGTTTCTCGTCGACCTATAAACTGATCATACCTGATAAACAAGTAATCCAACTGTAACATGCCATGCATACTGCGTAGTCTTGCATTCGCAACCATGTGCAGGCCTCTCTTGCACTCGATTGCAAGCACGTGCGATAGAGCGAAAGAGAAAGAAAGAACGAGAACAAGAGAAGTAGGGGATAGAGGGGAGGGACAAAGAAGGAATGAAGTGGGGATGAAAAGAAGAAAAAAGAAGGCAGAGATACAAATAGCGAGTAGAAGAAATAAAAGTGAATTTCAAGGATACAATTTGAGAACGTCCGTGTCCATACGTCGTTTTCCAGCGCTGGGGGACGACATATTTATCGTCTATTAACGCAGCAGAGCCCTTCGCAGCAAGTCCTTGAATCAGCTGAGCTCGATTGTCGTTTCAGAAGGGCCTCTGACTGCTTAGGATTATTTAGCACAGCAGAACCCGCGAAAGAATTGGTTTTTCACCACTATGATATAACACACTCTCTGTTTTCCCGTACAGTTATTCAGCACCGAGAAAAAAAACAAAGACACGCGCGCGTGATGGTCGCTAGTCAGTCGTTGGATGTTCGACGCTCGCCACGAAGGAAAACGACACGGGACGAATTCCGCGACGTCAGCGTTTAATGATGTTTTCTATGGATGAACGAGCGTACGATCCCTTGAAGAGCAGCGATATACAAAAGATCTTCCTCTTTGTCCAGGCGGACCAAGTCAAAAACTTCGGGCTAGAGAATCATTTCACCATCACCAACGACGACCCGTTTAGAGACTCGTACTGTCGACACGTTTCTCGCGCACACAGAAAACAATTCTTTCCCCTAAACCTCCTCCGCCTCCACCACTACGAAACGCCTGTTCTCGTGCACCCCACTGTCAACTCACGGACTTCACCGCATCTGATTCCGTTTCTACACTGCTCTCTTGCTTGCTGCTACCTCTGTCTCACGTTGTGCCAGTGAATGCGCGCGCACAATACAAAATCCCTGCTATGATCCACGAATCGCCACTGGTTCTTTCGGTCAACCAATATCACTAGAATTATATATCGACTACGATAAACTTTTATTACTTTTTATTTCTCTTTTAAAATTCAAATTCCATACTTAAAAAACGTATATACCAATAATTTAAAATATAAGTATATTGAAGTTTCAAAAAATATATTACTTACTCATTGTAATTTTATTATTCGATATTTTTTCTATATAAATAATTTACGTCATAGATAAATAGATACATTCAAATAAAATATTAATGTGTAATATATTTTATATAAATAAAATATAAGAAATAAAAAAAGACTCTTATAAATACCGTTTATAAAATTATATTATTATATAACCATTTATATTATAAATAATTAACGATTTTAAAATATATCAAATATTTATAACACAATTGTATAAAAATAAATAATATGATTACGCAAAAATTTAAATATTAATTGATAATATAATTTGTTAAATTAAAAAAAATAAATATATATACTTATAAAACATATCAAGTTAAATTACTAGTTCTTGGTAACACTGTGATTTAATTTATATCAAAGATATGTGATGTGTGGAACTTGAATTTAAATATAATATAATAATTATATTTGTATAATTATTACTAAAATATAAGCAATATAAAAAATACTTATAAATAATATATAAATACCTTTTTGAATCAATAATATAAAATTTAATATTTATTAAATTTTAAGAAACTTGACATTTGGAATTAACCCATCACACACATATTATAATAAATCAAATGAGCACGTACACTGATAAAATTATAAGGAAGAAATTCAATTAAACAGCAATTATTCTCATGAATGAATAAATTGTAAAGACGATTGAAAAAGAATTGAATTGTTCAGTGAGTCAAATATCGCACAATTCGCGTTTTACACGGACGTTTAATAACGTTAAAACAAAAGACACCTATTATGACAAAATTAACATGTACATAATGTATGATAATACTGCAATATTTAGTAACTCAGTAAAATTATTCTAACAAATTGATTTATTTAAAAAATGTATAAAAATTACGAATATAAAATTTCATCTAATATACAACAGAAAAATATCCCAATTGAATACTGTACCAAATTCATAATAATAAATACACAAAAATTTGAGATCCTTAAAATACTAATACATTACATGTTATACGTTTCACATTCTTGAAATTATTTTAAAAATATGATAAGTAATAATATACAAAAATTTGTTTCATATTATTGTTCATTAATACATTTCAATGAATACATTGAAGTTATAGAAAATACTAATTCTGTTGCCTCTCAAATATAAGTACTCTATGTATAAGTAACTAATGTGCACTAAATTCACTCTATTAAAGTGTTACAATTCTATTGCACTCTTTTTCTGTTCAGGTCTACTTTGTTGCATGCATATATCTTAAATTCTAATAATTATATTAATAATGCATCAAAGTTAATAAAAATTTGTATGAAATGTATATGATATTAGAAATTTATCGAGGAACTTTTAATACTGCCAAAGGTAGATTTTTGCATAATAATACAAAAAAAATTTAACATACTATTTCAATATCACATAATTATCATTATAATGCACGTTTATGTTATTAAAACGAATGTTAATTATAGATAAATGCCCAATATTGATATGTTCTATAAAATGATGGAATAGAGTATTTATTATTAAAGAGAGACTGGTGCATTAAAGGCTATTATTGTAGGTATGGCAGTACTATTATTTAATTTAGTACTATTATAATTGTTTTATTTATATATGTGAAAAAATCTTATTGGAAAAAATATATTTAGATTTAAAATGGAATGTTTTATAAAATAATAATAACTATACGTTATTCTAATATGATCATATATGAATATGATACATAATAAAAATATTAAAAAATATTTAAGAAATAAAATAATTTCTTATTCATTTTACTTAAAAATACTTAATAAATTGTTAAGTATATAAAATATTAAGTAAATGTATTAAAGAAAAAGTAAAGCTTTAAAAATATTCTTCTTAATAAATAATTAATTTTGGCATCAAAAGATTACTTGTCAGAGTATTATCAGTCCTTGCATTCTCTATAAATATCGAAAATTCTTAATTCATATTTATAGCTTTCTATACTATGTTTAAGTACAAAATTGTTGACTGGTCGGTTGTCACTTCTATTTTTTATAAAAAAAAATGTATACCATTTATTCTACTGCTGTTTTTCGTGCAAATGCTGTCAAAGACAACATTTCATTAGGATCAGTGGATAAACGTGAAAATTCAATTTCTTCACTAATACTATTTTCTGAAATTGAGAATATAGTGTAATAAATAATTAATAAAAAAAAATATAGAAATATATATAGAAAATATAATTTAGTTACCAGATGGTTCAATAGGCCATTGTTTATGTGAAGGAGCATATAAGCATAATAATGCTATGGTATAAATATTCCACATTCCATATACACCAGTAAAAAATGCTGATGTCATTTCCAAATGTAATTCTTCATCCCATTTCCATTGCCCTTCTGCAACCTATGTATGCATACAATACTTTAGTACATTAATTTATTTCTTCTAACATTTAAAATACAAAATTTGAATAAATACCTGGCCAAGAATAAAACCAACAACTGTTAAGGATGCACACAATAGTGTAGCAATCATCAAAAATTTAAATCGATATATTACACCTTCATAGTGTAAACGCCGTGCTGAACTCATACTAGGTAATGCAGCTCTTTTTGCACTAATATTCATGAATACTTTCCATATCATATAAGCTAAAAATATTAAGTACATGCCAGCAGAAATTCCGGCTAAAATTATAAATGATAACTATTTTATATTTAAAGTCAAGGAATTTAAATTTTTATAATATAAAAAGAAAAGTTTTAGTATAAAAGGATACAGCAAATTTAGTTCCAAGATCTGTTACCCAAATTGAATAAAATGGATTTCGTAATTGAACTCCACGTTCACACATATCAAATACAAATAATGATAAACATCCAATACCCACTGCAGAAAGATGACGCCAATAACATTTTAAAGAATTTCTTTGTTCACCTTCCTAATTGAGAAGCAAAACAAATTATATTTCTGACATAAAAATGCAATTATATAAAAAAATTATAAATAACAAACCTGTATCTAATATGATGAAAGACAATGGATGAAAAGAAAGAATTCATTAATATATAAGAATCAAATTATTTTAAAATTAATTTAATACATATAAACATTTTACCATAAGATGTTCTCCAGCAAATACAAGCCAAAAGGATAAAAGAATTGCATAAAATACTCCTTGTCTAATATCACCCAATAAAAGCATAAATGGCATATCATATGCAAGTGTTAAATATTCCAAAGGCACTAAAAGAATTATATTTATGTAAATATAATCAATTTTCATATATCAAATATATTATATTAATAAATACATTACTTACTGTTTAAAAATGACAAAGCTATGCCTAGAGCTAAAAGTAAATATTCCAAAAGAGCTGGTGATCTAGAAAGCATATGTACTCGCCTCCAATACCAAGTAAGAACACATAAAACAATTGGAAAATAAATAGTTTTTAAACTAACCCATACTTTTGTAAATCCACCATTTTGATTGATAGCCTGAAATATAGAAATGTTAAGATTCAATTTTATATGAAATGCAAAAATAGTATTTTAAATATATATTTACTGTAAGCCATAAATCAGTTATATGTCCTAAACCCTGATTGATATTTCTGTCAGTATCAGCAGGAAGACGAATATTTAAAAGATAATAATCATGAAATAGAGATCCAAGTTCAAATAGTGGTACCACACTACAATTATAATTATATTGCTCCAATGCCTACAAAAAAGAACTATCTGTAAATAAATATACATTTACTGTATTCAAGTATAATAATATTATCAAGTAAGTATAATAATATTTACATCATCAATACTACAATCTAGAATTCTTTCTACTACGGAAGCAGCATATGGTTTCCAACCATCATCTGGATCACCTTTATTTCTATAAGCAAGTCTTGCATCCAATGTTATTTTAGTCCTAGGAGCTGTAAAACATAATAATTAATAAAATATATAAATAAAACAATATTTTATATATATACAACATATATATCTATATAAATATATTTATATTGAAAAAAAAACCAATAAAAAAGAGATAAATCACCAATTTCTATTTGACTATGATATACAATATCCACTTGTAAAACACCAATCAAATTTTGTTGCCATCTGGAATAATCAAGTTGCATACTATTTCGAGGTACAGGCATCTATAAAATAAATAATTTAAATTTTTAAATATAATGCATACTTTTCAATACAATACAATTTCATAGAATTACCTGAAACGTATATACAACTTGATATGCTTGATGATGATTATCAAAACTAAATCGATTCATATCAACAGGAATACAAGATCCTTTTCCTCTTGAATAAAACCATTTTCTTCCTCCAGGTTCAGATCCATTTATACGAATATCTTTGCAAGGTGTACCAAGTATATTTTGGCTACTAGCTGGAGTTGGAGCTAAAACATAATATATATATAGATTATTGGTATTATTAATAGTTACTTGTTATATATACTTTTATTAAAATTCCAATAAAAAAATAATAATTCATATTAATTACAATAAAAAATTTTAAAAACAAAAATAATAAATTCATTAATTCAATAATTTTTATTATAAATAGTTAATAAGTATCTAAAATTTTCCATAATTTAAAATGTAAACACATAGTTATTTATTTACAAAAATTTTTATATTTTGCAAAATTAAAATAAAAAATATAACATTTAACTATAGTCAAAATTATTATAATTTTGAAATTATTGACATTTCTTAACTTACCAATAAGCCCGCCTATTAAAAAACAAATTATTTGTGCGATAACGAGTAATATTACAAGTACTGAAAGCTTTCTACCACTTAAATTTTCTATGATTGTTCCTTGCATTTTTTTAAATATAATTATTTATTATAATGTTTATAATATTTTTTATTCAAAATATAAAATCGCCAAAAGGACGCATAAGCAGACGCGCTTATCCGTAGTGTGAAGAGCAGTTTAACGTGCTTTTCGAGTAGCTTCACTTTTCAAAATGGAAGCTGTGACATACCAATATTTATAGAAATTCTTGTGAAAATCTCTAAAAAGATTTTGCGAACCAATCATCTCATATTCAATGTTGCCAACAATCATCTAATACATTTATAAAGTATAGGAATATCGCTACAATTTTAAGTACTCATTAATAAAATTTTGAATATACCGAAGACTATTGAAAATTATCGAACACATTATAGCACATCGATTTTTTTTTTTAAATCGATAAGAAAACTCATCGATCGATAGAATAACATTTGTAGATGATTCGAGTAGTCGAAAAAAAAGTATCGATTCATAAATTAAGTCAGAGATGCATTACATACTGCATCTTCAATAACTATTAGAAAATGCGTGACGTAGCGATGGATGCAAATGGAAATGGGAAGCGTGATCTTCCCCGAATAGTTCTACAGCAACGAATTATGAGTACTGAAGTGAGTAAATGCTTTGTCAACTAAGTGCAAAAATCCTGACAAAAGTAAATAACGGTAATCGGCGTGGATCAAGTCGTTTCTAACCTTTTTGACAGAAGCGTATTCTACTGATTAATGCCTGGATTGTCAAAATCTGTTTATCAAATCATACGATACGTGAATAACGTCTCATATCCTTTTCTGAATAATAATCGTTGAAATAAATATTCATAAAATGGTACATACATATTATAATTGGTATTTTGTTAAAATCAAGAAATAACTAACATAAAAATAGTAACATTTGTATATATATATTTTTTTTTGTTTTATGTTCAGGAAATATCTAAATCTACGGATTTGGATTTTATTTATGATGATGCAGACAAGCATGCTAACGAAATTGCAGAATTATACAGTTATTCAGAACAATCTGAATTACACGTTAACCTTACAGTGAGTATAGGCATTTCTATGGTTATTTTACGAAAAATTAATACAATAGAAATATATTTATTCTTAGGCATTTGAAGAACAAATGGAATTATATAAATTAAGACCATGGTGGCAAAATTTATCAGAAGCTCAACAAAAATCTGTAATTTACAAATTATTAGATCAATTAGAGGTTTCTAACAAACAATTAAGGATGAAGGCAGCAAGATGTATTTTGTATTTAGCTCAAGGTTGTTGGGCTGAAGTACAATCTGATGAAGAGCAACGAGAATGGACCAGAAAAAATGTTATGTTATTGTATGAGGCTGGAATTTTTCCAACATTTGTTGAACTTCTTAATATTGAAATTACGTATGTTTATTCTTTCTTATAAAAAAAAAATTTGATCTATTATCTTTTTATAATTCAAATTTTTAAATTTTTAGTAATAGTAGAAGAGCTGCTTCTGCAATGAGAAAAATATCTGTTAGCCTTGACGATTCCACTGATTTAAGAGTAATTTTGTCAGTTTTATATATTATAACAGAAGTGATGAGAGAAGAAATGAAAAATTTAAAACACAGTATTTATAAAAATAATGTTGAATCTTTTAAAGAAGATTTAATAAATCCTTATGGCGAAGAATTACTTATAGTCAAACTTCTTGGTATGGTAACATATTTTTGCAGTGGAGCAGCTCCACATTTTCCAATGAAAAAAGTTCTTTTATTATTGTGGAAATTAATTTTGGTATCTTTGGGTGGAATTGATACATTGAGAGAATTAAAAAAACAATATCGTGAAGAAGCTGGTCTTGATACACAACAGGAAGATACTTTAGAAGTTGCTAAAACTATGAGAGCTAGTTCTCCTCCTGTCAGTGCAGCAGATTTAATTGAAACACAAAATCAAAAAAAGAATCATAGATCTTATCGACGAGTATGTTAAATTTTTATAAATCTTAAAAATTTTATTTATAATTTACAATTATTATTTAACACTTCTTATTTTCAGTTTTTAATGAAACAAAGTTCATTAGATGAACCAGGCTTGGAAATGGAATATGAAGGTGCAGAAATGGGAAATGATACTGCAAACAATGAAGGTGAAGGAGAAGCTAATGTATTTATGAATCAAACTGTTTTGACTCAGTTACGAACTTATTGTCAAAATGAAAATAATCAACCTCAAGTAAGACCTGATACTCCACAACTTACTAAAGGAAAAAGTAATATTTTTATTATATTTTAAAAAATGATTATTATTTAAAAATATAAAATATTATTTCAAAGTAACACATTTTTCAACAAAAGGTTTACCATGGACACCAAAGGTGAGACAAAAGGATGTGGACACTTTTCTGGAAGTATCAAGATTAAAATTTGTTGGTTACAATTTAGAAGGAGACAGACAAAGTCTGGCAGGTTTACCACAACCAATACTTGAAGGTGTTAATACACTTAAAAGAGTAAGTCTAAAACTTTCATATATTTAGTACTTAAAAAATTTAGATCAATAAAATATTTGTTTTTATATTTACAGCATATGTATATATCTTTAGCAGAAATCCAAATTCAAAAAGAAGAACAAATGCTTAGAAATCCTATTAGTACTCCAAGGTTTCCAATTCGTCAAACACCAACAGAAATTGTATATCATGCTATATTACCATTTGTTCCACAATATATGATTGCATTACTGAAAATTTTATTAGCAGCTGCACCTACTAGTAAAGCTAAAACAGATAGTACTAATATTATGGCTGATGTTTTACCAGGACAAATGCCGTAAGTTTTAAGAAAAACATGATTTTACGAATTTACATAATAATAACATTCACAGGAATAATATATTAAAATCATTTTTTATTGTATATTTATTAAATATCTTTATCTTTATTATTATATATCTTTATTTTTTTTTTCAGTATGACCGTTTTTCAATCAATGAAACTCGCCATTGATATAAACAGACATAAAGAAATTATTGTTAAAGCTGTATCTGCTATACTACTTCTTTTATTGAAACATTTTAAATTAAATCACATATATCAGTTTGAATTCATGTCACAACATTTAGTATTTGCTAATTGCATACCACTCGTTTTAAAATTTTTAAATCAGAATATTCTAGCTTATATTAAAGTTAAAAACGTGTAAGTTTCATTCTCGAAAAAAAAAAATAAAAAAATAACTATATGAAAATATATATATATATTATATATACTTTCTTTTACAGTATTCCTATCTTGGATTTTCCCATGTGTGTTATTGGAGAACAACCAGATGTATCTCTTGATAATCTTGAAACTGGAGACAATTCACCATGTTCATGGAGAAATGTTTTTTCTTGCATTAATTTATTACGTATTCTTAATAAATTGACAAAATGGAAACATAGTAGAATTATGGTTTGTATTTTTTTTTGTATTATTTTTATTATTAATTTTGTTTATTTGCTATGAATATTTTAACTTTTATTTATTTTATAGATGTTAATTGTTTTTAAATCAGCACCCATATTAAAACGTACATTAAAAGTCAGACATGCAATGATGCAATTATATGTCTTAAAATTACTAAAAATGCAAACCAGATATTTAGGACGACAATGGCGAAAAACTAATATGAAAACAATCAGTGCAATTTACGCAAAAGTTCGACATCGTTTGAATGATGATTGGGCTTATGGAAATGGTAAAAATAAAAAATAAAAAAATAAAAAAATATCATTTATAAGATATATAATATCTTATGTAATATATCTTATATAATATAAAATGTATTTGATATAAACAGTTATAAGTAATTTATTTTCATTTAGATTTAGAAGCACGACCTTGGGATTTTCAAGTAGATGAGTGCGTATTACGTTCTTGTGTTGACCGATTTAATAATCTACGATACACTAATGTCCCTAAAGATAAAGATATGGAACCTGTTGATAATTCTGTTACGTCGGTACTCGGAGTAAATGTGGAATTAAGCGATGAATTTAAACAACATTATGAATTATGGTTACAACAAGAAGTATTTCAAAGAAGTATTAATTGGGACGAATTATTAGATCCTGAAGCGTGTGAGATTTAAATTTTTAATAAGTGTAATATAATATATATATATATTAAAATCGTATTTTCGTCAACTCATAGACCTGGATCAAATTTTGACGTTTTTATAAATTATATACTATTGTGAAGTGTTCAAAAAAAACATTGCCATATCGATGCATTGGAAACTGAATTCATATTTGGTTTATATACATTGAACAATGAATGGTCCTAATCTAACGAACATTTAACACAGAGACTAGTGATTTTTCAAAAATAGTTTATGACATAATGTGTAATTTTTTTACATTTGTTTGTGTGTATTTAATTTGTTTAATGTATATTGCTTATAGCAATATGTTATTACTATTATAGTTATAAGTGAATATATATAATCATTATGAAAAACTAGGATAAATTTATTCAAAATATGGTTCATATAAGTTTCTGTAAATTAATTTTTAATAATATAACGAACTGCGAATTGTATACCAATTTAAACTTCCTATATTCTATATAATTTTTATATGTACTCTATTTTACTGTGACTTGTCATTGTATAGTGATAATATTTATCATGATACAGTCTACAATGGTATTTACAAACATAAATCTTAATATGTATAATGTATTAATTTAACTTAAACTGCATTTTTTAAAATTTGCTAATTTTGTACATTAAATATGTTTTATTCATTATTAAATGTGGCAGTAATGCGTGTTTGACCTGTGTGTTACATATAGATAATCTCTTTATATGAGACAGAAAGAGAAAGATGAATAGTGAAATCAGTTGTATATAAATTCATAATGCAAAAATTTATGAAGCACTCATATGGTGCTTTTCTATCATAGAATTATTTCATTTAATAGCTGAATATTTAAAATATAGATTATATAAATTATAGACTGAATAATTAAACTTTCTCTTATTTATTTATTGTAATGTATATTTAAATAATTTCAGCGCAAAGTATCACATGATTATATTATTTTATTCACAGTATAGGATATTTTTTGTGATTGACGTGATTTAAATCGTCAAAAGTAAATAAAATTATAGTCTACATATAAGTTGTAATTTTTAAATCGTTGAAAAAATTTTTAAGGAGTTATCTATAAATTACATTTGTTGTATAAAAATATATGTATAATATATATATATATAAAACACTTTATATTTACTATAAATTATATTTCCTGAGATAATATCTAAAAATGACACATATTATCTGCATATAGTTTAATTAGTAAATTATACTTTACATTTGAAAATTAGTTCAAAAAATAAATGAATTAAATTTCTAATAAATTAGATTTTATACAGAATATAAAATTTCAAAATTTGAGGCACTTTTGTGTTAAATATATGGAATGTTATAATCACAGATGATGATTAATGGAACAATTTTTTGTGATCTGTATATATATATATATATATATATTCTATATATATTCTGTATATATATATACAGAATTATACATTATTACATAACAAAAATTCTACTTATGGTTTCACCCATTTGTATGAACCATAATAAGCGAAATTATTTTCTTTTGCCATTTCATCTGCTTCTTTGGGTCCTCGTGAACCATATCTAAATTTTTAATAGAACATATTATTTGAAAAAATAAAAAATAAAAATAATTGTTAAAAATGTAACTTACTTATAGGGAATTGGTTTAATTCTTTCGTTTTCTATTTGATGAAGCAAGGGCGTAAAAATTCTCCATGCTTGCGAAAGTTCATCATTACGTACGAAATGCATTTGCGAGCCACAAAATACATCCAAAATTAATCGTTCATATGCATCCGGAAGTTTTAGATCCTATATAATTAATGTGTTGACATAATATTCCTAAACTTCATAAATACTCTTAAACATAAATACTTCTAAACTTGCCTTATATCTAGAACCATATGTAAGATCTAATTCTGTTTCTTCCATATCGAATGTAATACCAGGTGATTTCGTCATCATTTTAATATATAATGCTTCACCTGGTTGTACTCTAATTACCAATTCATTTCTTTTCGCTTTTCCATCAAATATATCGCCAGGAACATCCTGATATTGTATTCTAACTTCTGCCTTTCGTTCGTTTAAAGCTGAGAATAATATGCTTGTATATTCCATATTATTATTATTAATAATATTATTGATAAAATTAGTTATATATATTAAGAATTATTTTTTATATATTAATATATCTATTTTACCTTTTCCACATTTGAGGATAAACGGAACACCATCCCACCGCTCATTATTAATTTTCAACACAGCAAGGGAATATGTGGGCGTAATTGAACCGGAAGGTACAGTAGCATCATCCAAATAGCCAAGTCGAGCATCAGGATCATCCGATTCAGGATCACCAATATATTGACCTAATACAACATCGTCCAGCGTCAAAGTCTTTATGCACTTTAACACTTTTACCTTTTCATCTCGTATATCATCCGGATGACAAGACGCTGGCTTCTCCATCGCAACCAATGACAAAATTTGTAATAAATGATTCTGCATGACGTCCCTAATGATACCAAATTCATCGAAATAGCCACCTCTTCCTTGCGTACCAAATGGTTCTTTAAATGTAATTTGTACAGAGGCCACATTATCTCTATTCCATGTTGGACTGAATATTCGATTACCAAATCGTAGAGTCATTAAATTTTGAACCATTTCTTTCCCCAAATAATGATCGATACGATAAATCTGATCTTCTCTGAATAAGGATGCGAGATGATCGGACAAAATCTGTGACGTAGCCGCGTCGCGACCGAATGGTTTTTCTATAATTACTCTGGTCCATCCTCTTTAAAAAATAATATACCTAATATATATGATGTTAATCTTAATATAAATTTTAAGACAATTTTAAAATATGTAATAATACTTACTTATCACTCATACAAACATTTCTAATGTGCACAGTTACATTTTCAAATACATTCGGTGGTAAGGCCAAGTAAAATAGTCTATTAGTAATATTGTAGCCTTCCTCGTATTTCTTCAATTCATTGTTCAACATTTCGAATCCTTTTTGCGAATCATATTGACCAGCCATATAGTAATTCAATTTCCAAAATTCTTCATACTTTTTCTCTTCATCCGATTTTACTTTCATATATGGATGACATTTTGCTCGTAATTGGTTCACAGACATATTTGTACGTGCGTAACCAAAAAATGTGGTAGTTTTTGGTAAAAGATTATCCCTAAACAACCACCATAGCGTTGGATAGATTTTTTTCTTTGCTAAGTCACCCTAAAGATTTATCGATTAAATTTATCGATTAAAGCTATTTAACATTTGATTTTGATAGTTATAGAAAAAAAAAATAAAATAAAATTTTACATACAGAAGCTCCAAGTGTTACAAACACATGAGGATAATTTCGATCAAAATGAATTCCTTCGAGATGATCCATTTCTTTCGATTTCAGCGACTGTCTGATGAAGTGCAGACTCTCTTCAGTGGACGTTTCTAAGACACAAAAGGATTATTTTAAAATTATTCATATTAAAATAATTTAGAAAATTATTATTTGTTTATTTTATATTATTTATAGTCAATGAATTTAAACGTGTGAAAATTAATTTAAACTTTGTACATTTAATAACGCATCTTTATTAAGAAACATTAAATTTAACTAGAGAAATATTTATTTTCAAGATAAAATAATAAAAGAAAAATCTTTTCTAGTGAAATTTTTAATCTAATTTTATAAAAAGAAAAAAAATGAATTTAAGAATCGCATAAGATTGAATTCAAAATATAAATATAAATATAGAAAAATTAGGAATATTATAATATATAAATTTACGAATGAAGAATAAAATTGAAAGTACAAAGTCACTTTCGAATGATTCGTTGAATAGAAATTGATGTATTTCCTATCATGAATTAATCAATTAAATACATAAATAGAAATTTAAATGAATTTTAATTACAAACTACGTTGTACATCTACACTATTCGATTTTAAAAGAAAACTATCTTGTTTTTTTTAAATTTTATCAAATAAAATCTCTTTATCTTTCTTCAAATATTTTTAAATCTTTAATCTTTTTCTTTTTTAAATCTTTTAAATCTTAGATAAGTTTAAAATAAATCATGCGATAAGTTATTAAACATGTTAAAATAATTATATAACAAAGATTTAAGATAATAGAAAAAAATCAAGCAATCGAAATTCATCATATTCATATAAAGAATCATATAAAAGATATTTTTATTTTTTTTTTTAAATTTCTTGATTTAATCAAATATTAAAAGAAACGCGAATAAATAAAAAGATAAAAATGCAATATTAAATTAAATTTAACATTGTATTGATGTCATTAAACATAAAAAATTTATACCGAATGTGTGTATTTAGCAATATGCATTTATTATTCAAACTAGTTTCCACAAATCTTATATAACAAAAAATTATTCATATCGTCAAAGGTATTATCAAGTATAATATAAAAAACGCCCGAATGTATTACTATAATTACTATTAAAATTTAAAATATTATTAGTTACATTGATAAAAATATTAAAAAACAAAATGAAGAAAAAACTATCACATTAAACAATAAAAAACTAAATATTTTAAAAATTCAATATAAATTACGCATAAAATTTTTTTATATAATCTTAATTAAAGATTCAGTTAAAGTACAAATTTCGAACGTAGTAGCTTATTAACTTATATTGCAGAGAAAGAGATAAATTAATAATTAGATAACAAACTGAAAAATAAATAATATTTTTTTTTAAACATGTATTATGTTTTGTTTTTTTTTTTAATATATAAAATTCTTTTATCGTATAAACAATTTTTTATTTATCACTTATCTTTTTATAAATCACATTTTAATACACTTCATAAAAAATGCACTGATAATAAAAAAAAAATAAAAAAAATAGAAAAAATAATATAAACACATTTTAAAAAAACTTACTTATCATGGTAATAAATTTTTGAATGATATTTATCACAGAAAACCAAAATTTTTTCCGGAAATGTGATCCGATGGAAAACTAAAACGACCGCCAAAAACCTACCGATCAGTTCAACTGTTTGACTCAGACTAATTATGACGATCGATGCGATGACTATTTCACAGTCTCAGGAAGATACACATATGATTTTGAAATATAAATATACTTGAAAAATCCAAGGATATTTGTAAATTTCTTCTTTTTCTTTTTAACGTATTATATTTTTTTTCAATATATATATATATATTTATATATGTTTCAAAATACACGATTATTATATGATTATGTGATTATTTCACTTATTGTTATTTCTTAATGAAAAATATTCAATCTTGTTTGATCTTTTCTTTTAAATTATGTATTTATTTTAACCTATATTTTATGTTTAAGGAAATTATTTATTAAGAATTATTTCAATAAAAATTTTATTCTTTATCTATTTTTATATATAATTATAAGGAATAAGTATAAATGTAACTTGTAAAAACACGATATATTGTCAATGTACGATTACGTAATTATGTTAATATTCCTATTTTCTTGTTACACTAAATTTCTTTTTTATTCTATAAATTTTATATTATGGTAAGTTTATTTATTTAATAGTTTTAATAATAATGATGAATATTTTTAATTAACTTAATTTTAATATATACATTTATACTTTTTTTCGAAATACAATCAATCTCGAAGACATATTAGAAACTGAATTAAGATTAGTAAGAAACAGCTATTTAAATATTCTGCTAGTTCATATTATTTGTTGAGCAGGTAGTGAAGGCAACGACGTGTTGTCTTTGATGGTCAAGGTCACGTCGATTTAAAGTAGACAAAGACTAATTATTCAATTAATAACGAATATTAAGATACATATGTTTATCTTGAATAAAATATAAAATAAGTCAAAAATTTAATCTTGAAATCTTTTAATCTTTTTCATTCTTTTAATTTATTTTTTTTTATAAATTTAAAATTTTATAAAAATTATCATAAAAATTTATTTCTTAGTTGTATATTATGTTTCTAAAGTTGTTGTTAATAGTTAAAATAGTTGTTAAAATATATTCAATACATCTTTTATAACATTAATTTATAATTAATATAATAAAATATATATATATTATGTACGCATGCAACATAAAATAGTTACATGTGTGAATGCATAAGTGTGAGAACTAATGACTTCGCAAATAAAAAGTGATTCGTAACTTGTTGTCGTCCGATGTTAATCTTTGAATAAAATAAGAAATTCTAATAAAATTTATTGAAATATTGATTTCTAACTAAAAAAAATATAATTTATGTATCAATAAATATTTCAATAAATCAAAACAATAATAAAAATTTGATCTTTAATTATAGATATGATAATGAGTATTTTAATTTGTATTAATTTCATTAAAATTATAACTATATGCACTCGAAGCATACATAAATATAATAGTAAATAAATTACAAATTTATAATAGTAAATAAAATAGGTAATATTCGGATTAAAGAAATATAAACGAGAAAAAAAATTATATTTAAATACTGAAATAAAATATAATAATAATAATAATAAATCATATTTTAAATTTTATATATTTTTCTATTAAATTCTTAACAATAATTGTGAATTATCTTTTCATCATATAACAATAGTAAAATTTTCTTTATGTTAATGTTTTTCTTATATTACCACAATATAAAATAATAATCAAATGTATATTATGATATATCGAAGATTGTGTATTGTATTTTATTTATTATTTTTCAATAGTTTTATTATGATCTAAATAAGTTATAAAAAATATTAAACAATAAAATATATTGTCAATAAGACTTTTATTTTATAAACATATGAAAATGATATATTTTTAATAAAAAGAATATATACTAAACATAAATTTTATTTTAATCTAAAATATTAATTTAATTTTAAAATAATTTAAAATTTTATTTTAATCTAAAATATATGTAATTGATAAGTTTTTTCGTGCATTTATCAACAGCAAACACATGATAATAAAATCGCGCGATTCATAACATGTTATGATGGTTTAATACAATCACAAATATATATAATTTCATTATTAAATTATTTAATATTTTTCATTTGTGATCTAATAAATTTTTCTAAATCGATTTCTTCTTAAATATTTCATTTTTATTATAAATTATTATATTATAAAATACATATATATATATATATATGAAATAATTTAAAAAGTGAATGTATATTCAAGTTTAAATCGTACTACCATTTATGCAACATTTCCAATGCCAAACTGATATTACAGACCTACTTTTTCATTTCGCTTTACAATGACTCATATAAATATAAATTGTAACACGCTAAAAAAACACATTCTTTTTAAATATTTGTTGCAATAATTGTTTAATATTAATATGCATTTAATACTAATAATATTTTAATAATAATATAAAAATGAAACAGAAAAATCAGCATTATATAAAATATAATACGTAATAAAATGATTTGCTTATAAATATATCAAAAAGAAATAGTTATTCATTTTTTTTCAATTATTTTTTATCATATAATATAAAAATAAAATATCTATCATAAAAGATTTTATAATATATTATGCAAATATATTATTCGAAAAAAAATAATGCAAAACAGTTTGGTAAAAAAAATGTATTCAAAATATTACGAATCAACAACCTAATAAAAATAAACTGCAAAAATTTTGAAAAAAAAATTAACTAAAAATGTTATAAATTAAATAAATAAAGTATAATTTAACCTATAATATATAAATAAAAATAAAAGACTTACTTCTTACTTTCTCCATTATAAATATTAAAAGATTTGAAAAATATTATAAAATAAAAATATAAAAATATTTCACAAATGTTCTCTTGTGTACTATAGGAAATATATACTATCAAAATGACTATGTAACTCTTTCACGAAATGAAGGTTACACTGGAAAACATTATGCGATGGTTTACACGTGAACTGATCAACTGGTATTTTAAAATTCTCTTCGCGAAGATCTCATTTCTTGGCGTTCCCCGCTATCCCTCATTTTGGTCCATCTCATGTTACTATCATTTTTGCTTACTATATAAATATAATTTATATTTTTTTCAAATGGTAGAAAATATTAATCTTAGAATAAATTTTTTAATTATTTCTTAATTATTAAATCTCATTAAACTTTTTATACATTTTTAATTTCAACATATATTTATATAATTATATACAATATAATTAATCGTACTAAAAAAATACAATATTTGTAATATATATTTATAATAATAAAAATAAGTCTAACAATAAATTTTACTATCAATGATTTTTAATTATTAAATTTATTTATTAATCTTCAGTAATTTTAGCGCCATCTATTACTAAACATACCTTTTTGAAATAAATAATATCAAAGGTACATATTTGCTTAAATGAAATAATTAGTTAAAAAATATTTTTTTATAAAATTTATCTAATATTTTAAATATAATATTTTATAAAAAGATATTAAAAATTAATTAATAGATTTAGTAAAAATTTTAATTTCAAGTTTCTTAACCTCATATATATTGTTTAATACTTTTTAAAATTTATATATATTTTTGTTTATAGAAAATGAGATTGAATATAATATATTTTAAAAGTAGACATCATGCAAGAGCACCTCAAAATGAAAAAAAAGTACCATTTAAAGAAATTGTACCTTTATGTTTAAAAAATTCAGTTAAAGGAAGTTCAAAAAATATGATAGGTAAAATGATATATTTTACAATATAATATTTTATTACAATACAAATTTTTTATAAGAAAAATATTATTAAGAGATTTAATAATTAAATATATTTGTATATAAATATTTCAGAAAATAAATGTTTATTTGAAATGTCACTTTTATTTGGATGTTGGAAAGAAAATACGTTTAATGATAAAATATGTGAGAAGTTTGCACAAAATTTAAATGATTGTTATAAAAAGTATTTGAAGAATTCAGTTATACAAAAGAAATTACGAGAAATTGATGTTCCTGATCCTGATAGTAAAATACTTACAAATAAACAAATAACATATCTTTTACGTATGTATCCAAATGTTTAATAATTTTGAATAAAATATTAGAATATTATATAAAAAATATTTTTATTGTTACATTATTATTATCATTAATAAAATTCATACTATTATTATAATGAATTAATAATATGAAATAAAATATTATATTATGAAAGAATTTCATTATCAATCTGTTTAACCTGTGCTTGTAAATGCTTCATTCTTAATCGTGTAGAATAACCTGTGCATGAATAAAATTAATTCTAATAAATTTTTTTTTACAATATCAATTATAAAAAATTATAATACTTACGAATTGGATATTTAGTAGAAATAGACGTAACTTCTTGTATAGTGTTTAATTGATGTTCAATACGTTTTAATGCTTTATTATTTTCTATTTGTTCATCTTTATAATAATAATATGTACAAAATAATGTAATGGCACAAAGAGTAAGAACTACTTTTCTACATATCCATATTGTATTTAATAAATAGTTCTAAATTAAAAAATAAAAATCATTTATTTTTATGTAATTTTTTAATATCAACTATTTAATATCAACTATTTTAAAAATCTAATTCTATATTACCTGATTGTCATTGGAATAATGCATATTATTATAATATTGAACCAACATTCGTTCTACTATTATATTCAAACTTAAAATTGAAAAAAGAGTGATTCTTGCATCTACAGTTTTTTTAGAAGAACTAAATAATGCACATAAAATACAACTAATTATGTAATAAATAATTGATTGAAACCAAGAAACTTCTCCAACAATCCAATTTTGAAAAGAACGAAAGTATGAGAAGATTTCATACAATAATTCTTTTTGATCTTTTGCAGATTCTCTGTAATCAATAATATTATTTTTTAATTATCTTATAATAAGATTATATATAAAATTATAATAAAAAAAATTTTATATACTCACTTGAAATCTTTAACTAAATTATTAACACTTTCAGAAGAAGATTTTAATACAATACCAAGTTCTTTTCCATGATTTAAAAGTTTATTTTGCATTTGTAGACTCTGTTTTTGATTATCAAGTATAATTTCTTGCATTTCTGTAGCTTCTAATAATTGTTCTTTCATTCGAGAAGAAACATGATATAATCTGTAAAAAATTATTATTAATTTCTTCAAAAAATTTTTAATAATTATATATAAAAGAATTTACTGTTTAACCATGTTGTCAGTTTGAACTTGCCAAGCTTCATAATTTAAATAAAAACACATGTGCATAGTATGTATATAAAATTCATTATATACATTAAATGCTCTATCTGACATATTATTAATACAATTTCTATAAAAATAATAAATACAAAAATTATTAAATATAATAAAATTGATTTATATTATTATTATATTTTATTTAGTTTACATTATTATATTTACCTGCGTTGATATTCTGAATTAATAAGATAACAATCATATGTCTCATGTCCACTATCTTTTAAAAAACAATTTGTTAATTTTAAGGCAAGAAGAGAATGTTCTTGATCATTTAATTTATTACAATCAATTTTTATTGTTTTAATAGCATTTTGCCAACAAATTCCATGTTGAGATAAGGATGATTTTGCTATATATATAAACACAAATATAAAATATAAAATTTATTATATTTTTATTTATGTAATTAAATAATATATACCTTTAATTAAATGATATTGTTTTTCTCCCAATTCTTTTAATATTATACTTCCATCAATGGCAAATAAATAAGGAATAGAAAAAAATAAAAATATATTTAAATTATATATTTTTATTATTAACATAATGTATGTTAAATTTAAATTTGTTTTTTAAATTTATTTCATGTATGCATTATAATAAATAAACTATTTATATTAGTACTTTTTTATATCAATATATAAGTAATTTGTTTAATTCATATATAATGTTCAAAAATTTAAATTTACATTTACAATTTATTAGTCAAATATTAAATTACTATAAATTACTATATACTAGTTTTTTGATGCATATTCATTAATAAAAAAAAATAAAAATTCACTTTATAAAATATCAAACTTTTTTAACAAATGCAAAATTTCAAAAATATATTTGCTACTATATTATAAGAATTGAATGTTGAAAATAAACTTTTTAATATGTAACGATTTAAAATATTAAGGCGCTTTTTCAAATATTTTTAACAAAGTTTTATGATGGCCAAAAAAATAATATATGTAAACAAACTCTCTTTATATATACTAATATTTTTTAAACATTATCATTATTTAAAATCTCTAAAATTTATAAATAAATTTATAAATCTTTAAATAGTCATACTATAAAATCATAACAATCAAAATTTGCTAATAAATTTCTTCGCCATGAATAATGATTTTATAGTAAGACAATTTCTTAGTTCAAATTTCAAATTTCTTACTGCAAACTTCATATAAAAATTAATGATTTCAAGTCACATATTCGAATAATATAAATTCATGATTTAATTATAACTAATATTATAGTTAGAAACTTTTATTTTTATATTTATAATTACTTGATAAAAAATTAAAAACAAATTAAATAAATCAAAATTTACAATTGTAAAGTAAAATAAAAATATTTCATATTATTAAATATGTTTTTTATCTAAAATCAAAATCATTTAAATATATGAGAAAATATTTAATTTTCATAAAATCATAAATTATTCAAATATAATTTTGTTTCATGTTTGTCATAGAATATTCAACAACATGATGATGAAGTTTTCGATTAGTGCGCCACCAAGTAGACTATCATATAACATCGATTTCAAATATTAATATATATTTCTTATTTTATTGCGTTTAAATCTTATATGTTAATATGTATATATTTAATTTTAATATCAGATATACGAATATTAAGGATAACAAGATATATGTATAATCATAGTTATTATAAAATTTTAAATTTAAGATACTACGAGATATTTTAAATGATATTATAAAGTATCATATAAAAAGAAAAAAGAGAGAGAAAGAAAAAAATTATTAATTATTTTACAAAGATTAAAATGTATTTGATTCCTCTTTCATATATTCAATTCTATGAAGAATTATCAAAAAGGTTTCCTTCATTGTCTTGAATAGTTCCCAAGAAGCTTGAAAAACTACAGAAGCGCTTTGGCAATCGGCCAATATCTTCTATCATTGAATTTGGACAAACCGAGAATAAATGGTCGCAATCGAAACAAGAGTGATACAGGTTCGATTTTTTCTTTTAAGTTTTAAAAACCAATTTATCTTTCAACGAGTATCAAAATATTAATATCGAGATCATTCTTTGAATAATATTTACTGAGAAAAAAAATTAGTTTTCAACATTTCATTTCTGATAATTAAGTTAATTCTTAAAATAAAATAACTTAATTGATTTAAACTCTCTATTTACAAATTTATAATAATTATTTAGGAACATAGGAATATAGGAATGTATTTCTTATCAGTGGTTTTATAATATATAGATTTATAATACATAAATTTTCTTAGAAAAAATTTGAATATATAACCTTATATATTACAAGAATATCATATTAATATAAATAATTTTTAAAAACATTATATAACATTATTTCTTAATAACAACGTAATTATTATAAACACTTCTTTGATATTAAAGAGATATTCAGCAAAAAAAATTTGATTGCAAAATTAGAATTATATCATTTTTTTTTATGATATATTAAACATCCTAATTGTATATAATTGTACTGTATGTACTGTATATAATTATTATATTTAAACTGTATATAATTTAACTGTATATAATTTGTACATTTAAAGTAAATATATATAAACTAAAAAATATATATATATAAAAAATATTAATTGAATAAAACATTTAGAGTAAGATTTAAAATGATTTAAAATCTTTTATTAAGATTAAGATTTAAAATCATAAAAATTTCTAAACACTATTATAAATAGAAAGGAAAATATTACATTGATTAGATTATATTAAAAGAATGATCTATCAATCATCGATATACTATTATATTTATATATATTATATATATTATCGATATATTATATTTAGTATATAGGAGCAAATCATCCATACTTACTTTGCTTGACGTCATTCTTGTAAACTGTATATCATGAGATTAAAAATAAATACAACTCGGAAAAGCATTCACTGTCAAATAATTGCAATTTGATTTATTCCAGATTTACGACATCTTCTCGTTGATTTCACATCAAAACAATGAAAACTATTTTTACAATCCAAATTTATTCTAAATTGGAATTCTTTTATCAGGATAAAAATATGTTTCGCAAGTGTGACATACTTAAATGCAAATAAAAATCGATGTCGACCTATGTTGAGTGTCAATGATTAACAATTCATTTAATAAAAACTGTACGAGAAATAAAGTAAGATACTTTATCAATATTCTAATTAATTAGTCTTTATATGTGATCACAAAAAATGGATCATTTGTAATTCGATAAATTCACTATTTCGATCTATTCGTGAATTTTGATTTAATTTTTATTGGAATTTTCAATTGAAACTTTTCTTTTATATGAGAAAAAATTTTAAATTCAATGATAATTTAATGATTGATTAATTAATAATATTCATTTAAACTATCTAAACTACAAAAAAAGGATTCAATGATAATCTTCGACTTCCATGATCTTAATGTGTGACTAATTCTACCAATTTTCAGACGGAAATTTCTATCAATGACGTATCACGAAGATTTAATGTTTTGGCAAAAAGCCCGATTCGCATTTACCTTTCCATGTCATGGAATTTTCGACATTTTATTTTTTTTTTTTTATTCATTCAACAATTGAGTGCTTTATAAAATTTAGTTAATTCATCTCCATCAATTTTTCTTTCGTTGCAAAATAAGCAAATCGATAAATTTTGATCATACTGTAATATAATTAAAAAAAAAAAGAGAAAGAGGAAGGAAAAATGGGATATATCTAGGTATACATATATGTATTTTTTTGTATCTGTATTGAAAACTATTCAATCGAAAATTGAAAGAAGTTACAACAGTTCATAACTGTCTTAAGCAGCGTTTATTTCGTTTCTTATTAATCAAGTCAGAGCAATTCTTTAAAAAATCAGTTTCTCGTTTTTTTGACTTGTGACAAGAACGCGTTACAATCACGCTTATGTATCGGAAATTACCAAGGGTTTTCCGACGTAACGTAATTACATTCTGTGCCCCGTTATAATATATACGCGTATTATCGATTGTATTCCATGTATATCACCGTGTGTATAGCATTTACACGTCGAATCATTGTAAATGCTCGAATCGTACCATTTATATATATTTTTATATATATTTATATATACAGGATGTTATATATGAAACAATCTTTAGAGGATTAACTCTAGAAATTAAACAAACATAAAAGTTATTAATTGAATCTTATTTATTAAGTTATAAATAATAAGTGTAGTACGGTTATAAATAATAAGTACGGTTTCCCCTTTTGGGGTGTAAACAAATTAAAATTTTGACTTAGATCTTTATTAATTTTTGAGATATTAATAAAAAACTTTTAATATAATATATTGAATTTTATCTATACATACACAACTTTGGTAATGTATATCAGCATTTATCTATTATTTTTACAAACACATTTTACAAATGGCGTCCAAAACGCATAACGAATAATCAGTCAAAAAATTTTCTTATAGATATTATTATATTTTCTTATAGATTATGATAGATTTAAAACATTGCAAATTCAATACCAAGTTTTCCGTGGATCCGCGGAATAAAATATAAAAGAATGTAAAAATAATGGAAAGAGACAGAAAGTAAGATATCTTCATCTATCATTTTATTTTACTTTCATCTTACTTCATTTAAGACAAATATTACTTAGAATTCTATAAAAAAGGTTCAACAGATATCTTTTATTAATTTTTGTGTTTGTTTTTTTAGTTCTTGAATCAATACTTCAAAGATGTTCCATGAACATATTAACACCCTGTATAGAGTGTAATCCGTAAGAAGATGTACAACGACATGATAGTTCGATCCCTATTCGTTTGTTTCCAGGGAACAGGCAAACACAAAGAAAAGGGGCGATTATCAATAAGGAGATGATGGACGCAACACGAGCATGATTTTTCGCATTTCGTTTACTAATTTACGTATTTTACTTACACGTATGTTTACGCGCGCATCATATGCATATTATTATAACATGCGCGCGTGTTAGAGATCAAAAGTTTGCATTGTCGCTTAAGAAATCATGTTTTATCCTACGAAACTTAATGCTGTTAATTATATGCCAGAGTAAGAGGGAGAGAGAATGAATGAAAATAAAAAAAAAAAAAAATTATGATATGGAAACACACATTCTCGCGAGATAAAAGATGTATAAAAGCGTGCAGTAACTCGATGGGGGTAATCTCAAGCTGCCGCTGCAACCAAACTATGAATTGCAAACGACAATTATTGTTCTCGACAAAAAAAATAATGATAGTAGATAATTATAAAGGGTGTTGTAATCGTAAAGGTACTAAAGTCAGTCACTTTTCATTTTAAATCGTCCACCGTTCATGGGGACAATTCATTTCTTATTTCACTTTTTTTTTTAATTTTTTTTCTTTCTTTCTTTATATATGTATATATATATACAAATCGAGGTACACAATCAAATACAAGACGATCATAGATATCGATTCAATTAAAATTAAGTATATGAACGCAATGATGAAAATGCACGAATCGAGAGATTACATATATGATACAATTGATGCATGAACGATGATAGGCTAAAATATCATTGCGCGT